AGAGAGAGAGAGAGAGAGAGAGAGAGAGAGAGAGAGAGAGAGAGAGAAATGGCCTTGTTGTTACAAACAATTGCCCTGCTCTGGAGAGGGTCCGAGTGGAACGTGAGACAGAAGTTCTCTGAGAGTTTGTTAGTTCAGCCTCTATGCTATAGGACCTCTCCGAATTAGATGAAAGATTTCACAGTACTGGATTTGCAAAGAAGTTTTGCTTGATAATCTCAAAAATGATTCTAACTGAAACCATTTACTCTGTTCATTATTTTTTTCTTAAACAGAGCAAGCACGTTTTATATCTTTTTATGTTTCCAAGTGATTGTGTAAACTGTTAGTTGATTATGAACCCAGAAAAATGCTAAAATTTTGCCATCAAAATCACTAAAAGTTGGTAGTTGGAGATGTTCCCGGCATAGTTTATAGCTTAGTATGCTCATTTAGATGGCCTCAGTTCCTTACTAGAAGAATCACCATTCATATTGTTGAAACACAAAGACTCCAATCCCGTTTCTTGTGCTGTCAGGCCAGGAAAGAACGTGCAGTGCTGCTGGCACAGTTGCCTAGAAGTCCTTATTTAATGTACTCTTTAGTTTCTTTATGTAAAGGACATGGTTAAGACGTTTCCTACCTCGCCAGTTCTAGATCCTGAGAAGCATGGCTTCACAGAGCATTTCTGCATACAGGCAAGCCTAACATCAATTTTGTTCCTTATAACAAGAAAAATGAATTACATCTAGTTCTAAATCACAGTTAGGTCATACCCAGACCTTGAACCTTATAACCAAGCCACAGGGTCAATGACCTTGTCCCTACCAACACCACCCAAAGCCCTAGCCTTTCAGTTTGGGGTAAACCACTCAGAGAGTAAGTTTTTTTCATAATTTGAATGTAGGTTATTTTGATCCATTTGGTATTACATAGAACTCAGAGGACAGTAGCAAACATTTAGATTTAAACTTTTTTGATTCAAACTTGAGTTTCTTAAATGCTTATGGGAATATTTCTGTGAGCGCATCCCTTTGAGAGCATCCCTGTGAGCACATCCCTGAAAGAACATCCCTGTGAGAGCATCCCTGTGAGCACATCCCTGTGAGAGCATTCCTGTGAGCACATCCCTGAGAGCACATCCCTGTGACAGCATCCCTGTGAGAGCATCCCTGTGAGTGCATCCCTGTGAGAGCATCCCTGTGAGCACATCCCTATGAGCACATCCCTGTGAGAGCATCCCTGTGAGAGCATCCCTGTGAGCACATCCCTGTGACAGGATCCCTGTGAGAGAATCCCTGTGAGAGCATCCCTGTGAGAGCAT